AGCCCCTCGTACCGCTTCACGCTGAGCGACGGCTCCGTGCTGATCCTCCCTGGGTCCTGTTGGGAATTTCTGGGATTGATTTCCATTGGATTGGGGTTTTTAGAATTAGATTGGGATTTTCTCAGGATTTTCCCCCCAATTTTCCCAGGATTTTCCTGGAATTCAGGTGTTTTTCCCCTCAGTGATGACCCCAGCCCCACCCTCAGTCCCTCATCCCCCTCATGCAGAGCGACGGCTCAGTGCTGATCCTGCCTGGGTCCTGTTGGGAATTTTTGGGATTGATTTCCATTGGATTGGGATTTTTGTTTTTTTCTCAGATTTTTCCATGATTTTTCTGGGATTTTCCTGGAATTCAGGTGTTTTTCCCCTCAGTGATGACCCCAGCCCCACCCTCAACCCCTCATCCCCCTCACAGTCAGTGACGGCTCCGTGCTGATCCTCCCTGTGCCCTTTTGGGAATTTCTGGGATTGATTTCCATTGGATTGGGGTTTTTGGGATTTTCTTGGGATTTTCTCAGCATTTTTCTGGGATTTTCCTGGAATTCAGGTGTTTTTCCCCTCAGTGATGACCCCAGCTCCACCCTCAGCCCCTCATCCCCGTCACACCAAGCGATGGCTCCGTGCCGGATCTCCCTTTATCCCATCGACATTTTTTGGATTTTCACGGGATTTTCTCGGGGTTTTTTGGGATTTCCCCCCATTTTCCCCTGGAATTCCGTGTTTTTCCCGGCAGTGATGACACGGGGCACGGCCTTCAGCCCCTCGTACCGCTTCACGCTGAGCGACGGCTCCGTGCTGAGCGCCCACACCAAGTGCAAGCTCTGCTACCCCTCCAGCCCGGAGCTGCAGCCCTTCATCATGGGCGTCCACGTCATCGACAGGTGCGGCAATTCCCGGCGAATTCCACGGAATTCCCGCGGGATTCCAGGGAATTCCATCCATCCCCGCCGAATCCCGGGGAATTCCGCAGAATTCCGGCCGGGAGCGGCGCCGGGAATCACCCGCGTGGGGCGGGGATGAAGCGCCGGGCGTTGATCCCGCTCTGGGTTTTTCCAGATTTTTGGGGGTGTGTTTTTCCCAGTTTTTTTTTTTCCTGCCCTCGGAGCAGAATTTGGGAACTCAGAACCTGGAGAAAGGGTGGAATTACCAGAATTTCCAAGCGGGGAATTTTTGGGATTCAAAACCACCAAAAACCAGGAAACAAAACGATTTTTCCATGTTTTTCCCCCTGCAGGGATCACGGAATTCTGTCCCAAAAGAGTCGGATTTCCAAGTGGGGAATTTTTGGGATTCAAAACCACCAAAAACCGGGAAACAAAATGATTTTTCCATGTTTTTCCCCCCGCAGGGATCACAGAATTCTGTCCCAAAAGAGTCGGAATAACCAGAATTCCAAGCGGGGAATTTTTGGGATTCAAAACCACCAATAACCAGGAAACAAAACAATTTTTCCATGTTCTTTCCCCCTGCAGGGATCATGGAATTCTGTCCCAA